TCAACATAACGTTCCGAGGTGATAATGAAGTTTGGCCCCCGCGCCCCGCGCCCCCGACCAAACTCTTATTGGTCGACGATAAAAAACTCTAACGACTTAAGGGGGGGTAACATTATTATCATGGGCATGGGGTTACAGACATACATTCATACATTCATTCATTCATTCATTCATTCATACATACATACATGCATACATACATACATACACATATCTATCTCCCTCCCGAATTTTAAGACTTTGAGAGACCCGCCCCCCCCTCTGCCATAATATCCTGGTTATCCTGGGGTCCGGCGCACGCCGGGCGAGTTTTAGGGGTCGCACAGCCGGCCACAGGGGCCTCAAGAGCTTTCAAAGGGCGTCAGAAGAAGGTCCAAAAGGGCCCCGCAGAATCGAAAGCAGCACGGTAACGTCACACAGTGCATCGCAGGCACTATCAATGCAATGGTATCGGATGGATCTGAAGAGTGGGTCAAAAGACGGGGCTCCTTTCCTCTCAGATAGCACCGACAGTCGATCGGTGATCAAATGAAGCACGCACACTAAGCCAAGGGCAACAAGGGAGCGCGCTACGGGGCCCCAGGGGCGCCTCTCGCTACAGTCTGGCAAGGGGGAGACAGCGCTGCTCTCTGCTGCTCCGCGCTGACGCAAGGCGCACAGATTTGAACCAGTCCGTCAAGCACAACGGCCTGAAGGATTCTGCGTCGGCAGTCCATGGCGGCTTCGGGGACGACGGCGGCCCGATGAGGAGCGGGCCCGAGCGGACTCGGCCCCCGCGTGGTCGGGGCGACACCGGAGGCCCGCGGGCCTCGAGGCCCCGCGCCAGGAGTTCCCTCGCCGACGCCCAGCGATCTCCGCGCTGATAACAACAATCCATGTAGAAACGTGTCCATGAAAGCATCGTCCCCGCACGACAACGATCTCAATTCGCGAAGGGCGCCCACACAGACAGGCGCGCGAGAGGCCAGGGCGAACTGGAGACAGAAGATCGCCAACTGAAACACGACATAGCAATACCTCACTCAGAACTGCACCTCGACAGGGGATGAAAGATTCGGCATCATGCCGAATGAACTGATGTCACACCGTAGAACGCTGTGTACAAGACAGATGTCCAGGAGATTGCGTATCCAACAAATGTGGCCGAGTTGTGCACGCTCGGTAGGAACATTGAAATCTGCACTGGGAAGTGACTGACGTATCGATTCCGCAACAATGTTTAACTATCATTGGTGGCCAGACCACCTGTCTCCCGCTCGTGACGAAATTTGTTAGGTGATGGAGCCCAGCTCGCAACTCGCGCAGTGCGATGAATCGGATATGCCTCGTCCAGGTCGGCCCAGGTCGCGGGCAGCCGCGAGCGCTTCCGCTACGCAGCTGGACCGCACCTGAAGTCCAAGAGACTTACAAATGCCCGTCGCACGCGTGCACCGCGGATCTACTTGCCGCTGGGCGAGAGCTTCTCGCCAGAGCAAACTTGCCCCTCTCTGATGCCAGCCTTTGGTTTCGTCCTCTCCCCCGTCCACTCCGCGGTAACCGACGTCGCTGCAGATGCGCACTTCGGCCTAGGGGAGCGTCCGATGAAAAATCATCCTCCTCGGGTCGCGCATGCATTATGCCTCGCTGCAGCGTCAAAGCGACGCACCCGGACGTCCGTGCGCCGCGGTGTCCTCTGGAGAGACAGCACGGGCCATCGACCAGATCTGGGCGACGAGCTCGTGGGCTAGGGCCCCGCGGAGCTGAAGGCTGCTTGTGGGTCGGAGGTGGTTTTTGTAGCTGTTCTGCTTCATAGCCACATCCCCGCCGTGGTTCTCGGTATCCCGCGCGCGACGCGCGCGAAGGAATGGCACGACGACGCAACGACGAACGAACGCGACGCGCGCGAAAGAATGAGAGGGGGGGAAGGAGGAGGAGGAGGAGGAGGAGGAGGAGGAGGAGAAGGAGCAGGAGGAAGAGAAGGAGGAGGAGAAGGAGGAGGGGTAGGAGGAGGGGGAGAGGAAAGAGGAGGAAGAGGAGGAGAAGCAGGCGGAGGAGAATGAGCAGCAGCAGCAGCAGCAGCATGGCCACCAGACCATGATATTCATAGGTTGTTTGGGCTTTGGAGGCCAGGGATGCCACCAAACATTGCTATTCACACATTTTCTTTGCTTTCTTCATTTTCAAGAGATCCACAACCGTGGCCGGAAGGTTTTCAGATGTGTCTCGCTGGACGGAGACAGCGCTGGCGACAGTTTCGCAGATCGCAGCCCCCCAGGCACGGCGAGGTCTTGCTCAGATCTGCGCGGTGCCTCACTCCGCTGGAACCACCAGCAGCCCTCGAAAGTGGCGACATGTTCGCAGATCGCAGCCCTCCAGGCACGGCGAGGTCTTGCTCAGATCTGCGCGGTGCTTCACTCCGCTGGACCCACCAGCAGCCCTCGAAAGTGGCGACAGTTTCGCAGATCGCAGCCTCCCAGGCACGGCGAGGTCTTGCTCAGATCTGCGCGGTGCCTCACTCCGCTGGACCCACCAGCAGCCCTCGAAAGTCGCGACAGTTTCGCAGATCGCAGCCCCCCGGCGACGGCGAAGAGAGGGCAGGAGGAGGCGAGAGGAGGCGGGAGGGGGGCGGGAGAAGGGACGCGACCACAGTGCTCTATTCAAAACGAATACCCAACCAAGGAGGGTTGGAAAAAAAGCATGTGAATAGCGTTGTTGGTGGCATCCCTGATCAAAAGAACAGGCAACAACAACAACAACAACAACAACAACAACAACAACAACAACAACAACAACAACAACAACAATCAATTTGAGACTGTTCGCTCTTATTGGCACGCGTGTCTTGCATTCCGTATACCCCAACCCTCGATACCCGCCCACTTCGTCTTCGAGTGCACCCCCTTTCAGGGGGTCTCTTCCTTGTCGGCCACTGAATGAAGTGCGAAGAAGTCTCGAGCGAGAGCGCCGTTCCTGAATTCGGGGGCTCTCGGAATACCGATGGACAAATATCGAACGGGAGCCCTTGTCGCAGTGTCTGGTCCCCCACCAATTTGCCTGAATTGCGGAAAAGTCTCGAGCGAGAGCGCCGTTCCTGAGTTCGGGAGCCTTCTTGGCCAGGGGCTCTCGGAGGCAATCGTGAGGAAGTATCGAGCAGGAACCCTTGGGCCTGCGCCAACTTAATTGAATTTCAAGAAAGTCTCGAGCGAGAGCGCCGTTCCTGAGTTCGGGGGCCTCTCTGGCCAGGGTGTCTCGGGGTAAATTGTGAGGAAGTATCGAGCGGGAGCCCTTGTTGTCGCAGCTGGGCCTCCAGGGGCCCACATTCAGGGTCTACCCAACGCTCGAGCGGGAGCCTCTTTTTCAGAGAACAAGTGTAGCCGGCGTCGAGGCGAGAGCGCGCGAAGCCGTGTCCGGAGATCAACAATAACTATTATTTAAAAAAAGAGTATAGCATACATATATATAGAGGTATACGTATACACACCTACTCACAAGTCTACAAACATACATACATACATACATACATACATACATGCATACATACATACATGCATGCATGCATACATGCATACATACATACATACACTACATACACTACATAATACACAACATGCATGCATGCATGCATGCATACATACATACATACATGCATACATACAAAAAGACATACACGAATCTACATACATACATACATACATACATGCATGCATGCATGCATGCATGCATGCATGCATGCATACATACATACATACATTACATACATACATGCATGCATGCATGCATGCATGCATACATACATACATACGTACACACATACGTGCGTACGTACGTACGTACGTACTTACATATGTACATACGTACATGCACTCATACATACATGCATGCAAGCATACGTGCATACATGCATACATGCATACACACATACATGCATACATGCATACATACATACATGCATGCATACATACATACAAACAGGCGGACAGACATATAGACAGACAAGCATGCATACGTGCATGCATGCATTATTGCATGTATGCATGAAGCATACACACATGCATGCATACATGCATGCGTGCATACGTACATACATGCACACACAGTTGCATGCATGCATGCATACATGCATACTTACATGCATACATACATGCATGCACGCACAAATGCACGTATACATTCATGCATGCATGCATGAAAACATATATGCCTACAGACTTACATACATACATACATACATACATACATACATACATACATACATACATACACACATACAGACATGCATGCATGCATGCATGCATACAGATGCATGCATGCATGCGTATCTGTATACGTGCATATATGCATGCATGCATACATGCAGACATGCATGACATAGGTGCATGCATCCATACATGCATGCATACATACGTGCATGCATACATACACACACACATGCATGCACGCATGCATGCATGCATTCATGCATACACACATGCATACATGCATACATACATGCATGCATGCATACATACATGCATACATACATACATACATACATACACGAATGCATGTTTACATACATACATATATATATACACATACACACAAACCCACATACAGTCATACAATCATACATACGTACATACATACATACATACATACATACATACATACATGCATGCATGCATACATCCATAGGTGCATTTATAGACACACACACTTATCTTATATGTATATACGTGTACGTGTGTATAACTATATGAATACCGCTCCCGCTCTTCCTTATCCCCCTCCTCCGCCCTCCTGGCTGATTGAAACCTAACGGCAGTCACATTCAGAAACTTTCAAACCCCGTCTCCAAATACTCGAGACCTCGTGTATCGCACGCGCCTACGTGAACTTCGCAGGATTCACGTACCCCTGTCAATGTGTTTGTTATCATCCTACTACTGACCAAATATTCCTCTCTCTGCTCATCCTGCTTCTCTGAATGTCCTGCTCTTCATCCTACTCCATCAATTTGATCGTTATACCACCAGGCATTCCTCATAAGGTAGTACATGAAGGCGCCCCCATTGCACAAGGCATACAAGCCGATCAGCCAGCGTGGCTCCTCTGCCCGAAGGGAGGAGAGATAGATCATGCACAAAGAGGAATATTGGACAAATAGCGCCAAACAGTCCGGGGACAAGACTTCGAATATCGTTGTGAGCACGCGTGTGCATAGCTTGTGCGTTCGTGCATCCCTTAAAATGTAAACGGTACGCTGACGTCTGGGTGCTACCATGGGAACCAGGATAGGATCGGGGAAGACGCATTGCAGAGGATTGGAAAATCGCGCTGATGGAAGAAGAATGCAGCGCGTCGGACGAGTCGGCGAGGGAACGGGAGAGGGAAGGGGGCAGAGAGCAGCACGAGGGAGGCGGGAACAGCGCCCCAGAGGCGCCGCCCCAGGGGGGGCATGGCGCCGAGCCCAAAGCCCCAAGCTTTCAGACACATGAAGGGGCCCTGGGACACACAAATAAGTACACACAAATAAAAATATTCCCCATAATTTCCCATATTTTCTGGGTTTTTGTATTCCCCACCACTTCCCATATTTTCCCATATTTTCTGGGGGATCGACGATGAATTGTGTCTGTGTGTTTTTTCCCCTCCTGAACACCACTTGTGCGCGAGGGACGGGGAGAGCGGCGGCCGGACGGACGCTCCCCTCGCGCAGGGGCGCGGCCCGACTGCGAGCGGAGCGGTGGCGCCGTGGCGCCGGGCACTCCGCCCAGAGACAGTGCAACGCAAGCGCGGTGCGAGAAAGTGGGGACCCGAACTCTATATACACCGACGCTTGTTCCAGCCCTGAACCGAAATTCGCACGGGAAAGCGGATCCTAGTGTACACGGGACCCTGGTGTATACATTCTCGCTGGTTCCTGGGAAACGGGACAACAAGTATACATCACACCGCCCAGACGTCGACCCCAACCCTCAAGAAGTCCTGGGATTGAGAAACAGCCCGCCACTGGTAATTAATGCATATGTCCCAGCTCCCGAGGAAGGACAGGGGAGCAGCGCGGCGCGACGGGGAGGGCGAGGAGGGACGCGGAGTGGGCGGAACGCGAGGCCGACCAGCGGGCTCGGGGAGAGAGAAGCAGGTGCCAGGCTGCGCGGGCCCCGCTGCGCGCCCCCTCGCGCCGCGGCGGCGGCGCACGAAGGCGCGGCGGCCCTCGCGTTCCCGCCCCGCGGCCGCCCGGAGGAGGCCCGCCTCCCCAGACCGGGACTTCTGGGGACCCCACACCAACGCAAACTTACGACTTGTTGCGTCGGCGGCTAGGCAGATGGACTGCGTCGGCGAGGGGAGCGAAACGGGGCGCGTTGGGCGAAGTCAACTGCCATGCAGGAGAGGAGAGGACGGCAAGGCGCCGGCCAGGGGAGGGGACCAAGAGGAGCCGGGCCCGCTCAAAGAAGCCCGGGAGCGTGGCTGGGCCGGCGCCAAGGAGCCAGCGGCGGCGGGGGCCGGGGGCAACCTTCCGACATCGGACGTGTGGGCCGAGCTCCGTCGCCGGCTCCCCGGGCGTCCCGTGGCAGGCTCTCTTACCTCTCAGCGCGCGCGCCCCTCGCCTGCCCGGCAGTGGGCGAGGGCCAGCGAGCGAGCGCGCTGCCATCGGATCCAGGAGTCGGGCGGCGCGGCGGCGGGGCCTCGCCCCCCGATCACGCAGGCCTAGACGCAGTCCAGCCGACACTCTTCTCTGTCTGCCGAGGCGCGCCGCCGGTGTCCCCCCCCCCCCCGGAGCTCCTGGCCAGCTGCGGGCCCACGGCGAGGTGCCCCCTCTGCGCTTCGAGGGGCTGCGCTCGGAGGAAGCGCTGCGCTCGGTGCCCCGAGCTCACGGGCTGTGAGTCGTCCGGCCGCAGGCACAGAAAGCGCTGAGATGCCGTTGTCCGCCGCCGCCGCCGCCGCCGCCGCAGCTCCCGACCTCCTCCCCGGGACTGGCCGTCCCGTCCGGAGCCGCTCCTTGACGGCCCAGAGACGCCCCGAGGAGGCCCGAAAGCCGCCCCTGATTTCAAGTCGGCCCTGGCACGGGCCCAGAACGGGCCCGAAAAAACGAGGCCCCAAGGCCCCCGACAGGCCGCCCACAGGAGGCCCCAGCCAGGCCCCTGAGACCCTCAAGTGACAACGAAATGCTCGCAACACGCCGCAGCATTGCTGCGTGATTTCCCCAAGCGCAGTGGAAGAGGTGCGCTGCAGAGCAGCCGAGTGGAAGGCAAGCACACGGACAGGAAGGCACCAGGAGAAGGTCAACCGAGGAATCGGGAAGAGGTAAGCGTAACTAGCTGTCCTGGTCCACATGCTGCCCTTCCTCATGCTCAGGAGGCTCAGGACGCCCCTCGGTGAAGAGGGTGATGCAGAAGCCTAGCTGCAGCGTGTTGACAATGAGGTAATTGTCCATCTGCAGACAGAGAGAAAGGAAAACATCACTTAGAACAAAGAACTTTGACAAATTCCATGAAAACCTGCCGGCAGAGGACAGACGCGGACGAACGATGTCGAGAGAGCGCGAAACAACGGAAAGCACGATGCCAACTGCACCTCAGACAGAAGCGATCGAGACGTTCCCTGAAAACAAAGGCTCAACGCTGATCCTGGCTTTCCTTGGCCCACCTCGTGCGAAACTGGTGGCTGAAGCCACTGCAACCCGCGTGTTGGGTGAAACTTCGCAAAGACCCCCGAGACACGTCCAGGCGCCGATGCCCACCATCAGACCGTCTCAAGTCCAGGCACACGAACCTGCGGTGTCACGGTTCATCTAACTTCGCACAACGCGCCACGCAGTGCGCGATGCGCGGTTATCTTCCCGACCTTGCGCCGCCGCCCTGGATAAGGGCAACTCTGCGGCCATGGCCGCGACGCGCGAAGCGCGATTATCTTCGCGCCCCTGTGGGTGATCTAGGATTCCCGACAGCCTCTGCTGCAGTGCAGACGCGCGTGGTCACAGCAGGCCAAACTCGAGATCAAACTCAATGCACAACATGTGGCGTGGGCTCGGCAGGGGTGGCAAAAAGCGATTATCACAAGTAGCAGAGGACGATGTTGGCCCAGTGGTCTAGAAACCATGCTCTGGCGCACTGGGATTTCCAGAGAGTGGCGCAGAGCCGCTCCTGGCAACCACGAGAGAGGCAGCGAAATACATCAGCGTCACGGAGCACTTCCCAGAATAAAGTGCGCACTTGAGCGAAGAGGTCGGATGGCGTGTAATTACAATGTATCGTCATCCCTGCTTCTCCTCCAAATGCTGCTGCTGCTTGTTTTCTTGCCCCTCCTACTCTCCCCTCCCTCTCCTCGTTGTCCTCAACCTCCTCTTCCGTCTCCATTTTAACCTACATCTCCGCCTCCTCCTCCTCCTCCTCCTCCTCCTCTACCTCCTCACCATCATCATGACCACCACCACCACCACCACTATCATCACCATCACCATCACCATATCCATCACCATCACCATCACCATCATCATCACCACCATCATCACCATGATCATCACCCTCATCATAATCATCATCATCATCACATCATCATCAGCATCATCATCACCATCATCACCAACAACAACAACAGCAGCAGCATCATCCGCATCAGCATCAGCATCAGAATCATCATAATACTCATCATAATCAGCATCACCAGCATCAGCATCATCATCACCATCATCATCCCCATCGTCAACAACATCATCATCGTCATCATCATCATCATCATCAGCATCATCATCATCATCATCATCAGCATCAATATCAGCATCATCAACAGCAGCATCATCAGCATCAGCATCATCATCATAATCATCATTATAATCATCAGAATCATCATAAACATCATCACCAGCATCAGCATCAGCATCAGCATCAGCATCAGCATCAGCATCATCAGCATCATCAGCATCATCAGCATCATCATCATCATCATCATCATCATCATCATCATCATCATCATCATCATCATCATCATCATCGTCGTCGTGGTCGTCGTCGTACACTTGTAATCCCACTTGCGTGCATCACGTATACTTCGTAGCCACCGTTTTCATACGATGACGAAGGATGGAGGGGAGGAGGAAGAGGGAGCGATGAGGGAGGAGCGACAATGGAAGGAGGGAGGAAAGAAGTAGGGGGAAAAGGGAGGGAAGGAAGGCAAGGTTGGGAGGGAGGGAGCGAGGCATAAGAAGGGTGAGGAAGCTCAGAAAGCTACATGATGACGAATCCTCTACATCCGCCACCTTGCTGCGAAGCATTGAGTGAAGTGTCCTCACATGCCGGATAGTCTCCAACATTGAGAACTGCAAATGCTCCTTCAAATCCCCAGACCCCCAAATTACTGAATTATGAAGCGCTGCTTGGCGCCCCTGGGCGTTCTCGCAATTCTCCGCGTGTTTTTTGTCAGAGGCGTCGGGAGCGTGGTTCGGAAGCCGAAAGGCCGACGTGCTCGAAAATGGTACCACGGGCATCTCCCGAGGAATTCTTGGGGCCTCTTGGGGCTACGTGGAAATCCCTTGGACCGCCAAGAGGCGAAAATCATCCAACCTGCCCTGTGGGCCTGGAAGAAGTAGGTAAAAACATCAAGTAGGAAGGCTGATAACGTGGATTGTGTCCGGGCCCTCCCAGAGAATAACAAAATACAGCAAAAGCATGTCGACTCTTGAAGTAGGAAGGCGCTTGAAGAAGACTGGGACCTGGGAATCCAAAGATACCTGCTTTCAACGACCTGCGTGTAGTTGTTCAAACCCTTTTTCCCTTCGGGTGGAATCTCCTCCTCCTCCTCCTCTTCCTCCTCCTCCTCTCCTCCTCCTCTCCTCCTCCTCCTCCTCCTCATCCTCCTCCTCCTCCTCCTTGCCCTTCCTCCGACCTCTCCTCCTCCTCCTCCTCCCCCTCCTCCCCCCCCCTCCGCCATTATTCCCCCTCCTCATCTCTTCGATGAGGCTCATCTGACGAGCACGCCCCCCCCCCCGCTCGACCGGCCGCCGACCAAGAGCCCTGCGGAACCCTCTCCCGTTCCCTGTCGAAACGAATCAGAGTGCACGCTGCGGCGAGATCTGGACCACGACGGGGCTCCATGCGACCACGCTTCTCCTCCTCCTCCTCCTGCTCCTCCTCCTCCTGCTCCTCCTCCTCCTCCTCCACAATTACTCAATATGAATATACTCTCCCTCTTCCCCTGATGGCGTCCAGGGGATGGCCGCGCACCCTCCGCGCACTGTTTTTTTACACACAGGATGCCCGGGAAATCCCGGGAAACGACTCTCGCTGAGGCGCCGGCGTCATTTTTTCCCAAAATGCTGCTCTCGTTGAGGTGCCGGCCTCATTTCTGCTCCCGAATCGTTCCGAATCGTGCTCCCGCTGCAGCGTGGGCCTCATTTTCGGATCGGTGTTTGGCCTCCGTCGTTCAGGATGGCGTTCTCGCCCCAGCGCGGGCCTTTTTCTCGCGCGCCCATCCGCCCGCCACCACCGCGCCGCACCGCCACCCACCACCACCACCACCACCACCACCACCACCACACACCACCCACCACCACCACCACCCACCACCACCACCCACCACCAGCACCACCACCACCACCATCACCACACCACACCACCACCACCACCACCACCACCACCACCACACCACGCACACACGCACGCACGCACGCACGTGCACCACCACCCACTACGCACGCGCGCGCGGAGCCACAGGTCCGCTACGACACGCGTCCGCGGATAGAGAAAATCAGCGCCATGGTAAGGGATGGGAGGGAGGGGTAGGACGTCAGGTATGACGCGAGCGCACCTAGCTTGTCCTGCTCCTCCTCCTCCTTCTCCTCCTCCTCCTTATCCTCCGTTTCACCAGTGCGTCGACAGGGACGGCTGGGGGGCGATCACCTGCCTCCACACCGTGGGCCCGCCCACTGCCTGCATCAAAAGCCACTGCAGACTGACTGCGGGTGCAAGCACACACACACACACACACACACCACACACCATGCTGACCGCCCCGCCGCCTCCTGCGCTGGCTCTCGACGAAGATGACGGGGGGGGGCCCGCGTCTTGCCCGACGTGCGCTGTCAAAGAGCACTGGCGCACCCGTCGCCGTCTGGCGCACTCCGCGAGCGTCAGGCATGCGGCGCACGCGGCGCGGATGGCGCACGCGGCGCCTGCGACGCGACTGGCACACCCGCCAAGCCTGGGTCCATGCGTCGCCTGGCGCACCTGGCACGCATGGCGAACCTCGCGAGCGTCGCGCACCCAGCGTCTGGATTCGCTCCCGAGGGCTCTCCGTCCAGCGGCGACCTCTCTGCCTACGCTGAGTCCCGGGTGCTGCTTGCCATGGTGAGAGGGCGGGAGTGGGCGAGGCAGCCTGGGGCCGCTCTGGGCGCTTGTGGGCAGCCGTGCTGCTTTCAAAGCGAACCCGGTACGAGACTGCAACATTGGACGTGTTGAGGATGTCCCTAGCAGAATCGCCAGTGTTGGGAGGCTGGTCAGGGTCCTCGTGAGGCCGTTCGAGGGCAATGGCAAGACGATGTCAGGTTCGATGTGCATTCGACAGTATTATATCATCCTATTTGTCTTGAGCATGTCCCTCGCGAAATCGTCATGTTCGGGAGTTCTCAGGGCGCTCTCGGAGCCATCCTGGGGTCATTGTGTGGGCGCCTGCTTATTCTTCTTCGCGCGCTCCATGAACGATACCAAGACGATGCAGATAACATATCCGTTGTGTGAAGATGCACCGAGCGGAATGGGCACTGCTAGAAACAACTTAGAAACATACAGCAATGTTTGGCTGCCGTGCTGGTGCTCATGCTCTGATGATGTTTTGAGCTAGAGCGTCGTTTTAACATGGGAGTGAGTAAAATAGCTTTGTCGATATCACAGTGGCTCGAGCATGTCTCGAGCGAGACGCCTATGTTCGAAGATGAGTCGAATAATGCTCTAGATGTCATTGTTTACAGGACGTCTCAGGCGAAACGCGTATTTCTGTAAAATACGATGTTGCGAGCATGTCATGTGTGTGAGGATGTCTCAAGCGAGATGGCCAATCCGCCAACGAAAAAAACTTGCGCCCCGCTGCGGTATAGCGCCCGGCCATACAAAACGTCCGTCTCCTTCGAACTCCTCGAAATCGCTTCCCGGCAAAAAGGAATCCGTCAAGCCTCCCCTTCGTGCGATCGGCCGTGGCATTGCATTGATCCAAATCTTGAATACATTTACAGATGCAACCAGAACGTCCAGCTCGTTTCTCATTCCTCGAAGACGCTTCCTGTCATCCGCCAGCGAGGTCTCGATTGCGGCGCGGAGCCTTTAGTCACAGACATTTACCAAATACAGACGGTCCGTGCCAGAGGCGCTTCCCGTCATCCGCCACCATGCTCCCTGGCACGATTAGGGCGTGCCAGAAGCCAAGGGCTGCCTGGTAGGGTTTATGCAATCTTGTGAAGGCCCCCGCCCCTCCCAGTCGCACTTCGTTGAGGCCACACTCCCTCGCAAGAGAAGCAATGGCTCCGCGCTCCCGAAGCCATGATCCTTCGTAGCAGAGATGTGGATCTGAGCTCCCGAGCATCCGAGACGGCCGAGGCTGGCAACCAGGGCCGTCACTGAGGCCCGATTTGCCTCCTAGACGGCCCAAGATGGCCCCGAGGCGGCCCAAGATGGCCTCAAGACAGCTCCAAGGGGCTGCCAAGCCTGCCCAAGAGGGCCGCAAGAGAACCCCCAGTAGGGCCCGAGAAGGCCAAAATCTGGGATACCTCTTCGAAAATCAAAGATGTTGACAAATTCACATGTTCGGGCGTCGCGCAGCTCCAGACGGCCGTAAAGTCCCCCCAGATGGCCCCGAGACAGCCCAAGAGGGCCCCACAATGGCCTAATAGTCTTCCAAGACAGCCTCAAAGCATCCCAAGAGGGCCCCTGAAGGCCCAATACGGCCCCCAGAGAGCCCCGAGCTGGTCCAAGAAGGTCTTCAGAAGGACGACGGCCTCGACAGCCAAGACGGTCCCACGACGGCCGCAACAGACACCCAAGACGGCCAAGAAGGCCTCAAGACGGCCAAAGGGAGCCTAAGAAGGCCCCAAGACAGTACAACGCGGCCCAAGGGACCCCCAAGACTGCCCTGCAGGAGCCCAAGAAAGTACCGAATGGAAGAAGAAAGAAGAAAGACGACGAAGACGAGAAGAGAACCCCAGCACGACGCGGGAGTGTGTGTCAGATGTTGCGGCTCTCGCAAGCCTCGGGACACGAGGTGCCACACGCTACAGCCTGCTGCGCGCCGCCCGGACAGTCGCCACCCAAAATGCTGGGCTGGCACGGCGGCGGGACTCGCCACAATAGCGAAAGATCCGGGAGGGCATGTCTGGCTGACTCCTGGGGATGGCGAGGCTGATCCCGAGCTTCGATTTGGCGGCTGCCTGCCCCTCTTTGAGGCCCACAGGATTCCAAAATCGTGTGTTGACGTAAAGTGCTTGAGCTGTCCTCGCTTCGCCACTTCGGACTCTCGAAAGACAGGCACCCCAGGAGTCGCCCAAGATTGTCCCACGACGGCCCAAGAGAGGCCCCAAGACACCCCCGAGACGGCCCAGGAGAGGCCAAAGACACCCAGAGACACCCCCGAGACGGCCTGAAGGGCCCCGGTTGGGCCACAAGACTGCGCGGACGGGCCCCCGAGGGCGCGCTCCGGAGGCGCCAGGCGGCCGAAGCGTGCCCCTGACACGGCACCGAGATGCCGACGGCCGGCGCCGCCCTGGAGGCCGTCCCAGGGCCCGGGCCGCCGCCCCGCCCCCCCCGATCGGGACAGCCACACCGGCGGCAGCCGCTCCACGGAGCCGCCCGGCACCGAGAACCGCCCCGCGCCGAGCTCGGGCCGGGGCCGCGCGCCGAGCGCCGGGGGAGCCCCAAGGTGGCCCCAGGTGCAGCCCCAGGACGGCCCCAGAGGAGGAGGAGGAGGAGGAGGAGGAGGAGGAGGAGGAGGAGGAGGGTGAGAAGGAGTAGGAGAGGAGGAGGAGAGGAGGAGGAGGAGGAGGAGGAGGAGGAGGAGGAGGAGGGGGAGGAGGAGGAGGAGGAGGAGGAGGAGGAGGAGGAGGAGGAGGAGGAGGAGGAGGAGGAGGAGTCTCCCCCGCCGTGTCCCCCACGGCTTGGGGGAGCATGCAGTGCACTGGCATGGCCGGCCGCACTCTTTCGACCGACACTTCGCCGCGCGGGCGGCTCCCAAAGGCGGGGGGGCGACGGTGACTCGCCGCAGGCGTCTTCGACACCAGTTACCTCATGGCGCTACCAGAAAGTGGCGCAGGTCGCTCCCTCGTTCGCGGTACGCCTCCCGCCTCGCTGCCTGACCACGACCCACAATTACCTCTGAACCTTACGGCTGCCCTGTAAATACCTCATCAGAATCCAGGCAGCGACCTTACGAGCTAACCTGTCGCTCTCTCTCTCTCTCTCTCTCTCAACACTGGCACACCGACTGCTGCCTGCTCGCAGATACCTCGCAGCTGCCCCACTGCTATCCCCAGGGTGCGACAGAATACCACACAGGCCTTGCTGCTGCTGCTGCTGCTGCTGCTGCTGCTGCTGCTGCTGCTGTGCTGCTCCCTTTCTGTGGTGCGTCCACCTCCACGTCTGGCCCCAGCAGACCGCTCCGAGATCCGACGAGCACCGCACGAGCGAAAAAGACAGCACCTTGCGGACCGTGAGCCCGATGAGGTCTCGAACGTCCTGCCGGTACAGCTCGTACTGCTTGATCCGCATGTTGAACCCCTGGAATCCGCGCTTCATGAACAGGTTCTGCAGTGACGCGTCAGCAGGGAAAGGGGAGGCAGAGAGAAGTGCATCACAATGCACCGCTCAGCAGAGCACAGCAGCGTCCGAGGCCAATGTAGCACCAATGCTGACAAATCGGTCTGGCGGAGGAGCAAGCAGCAGTAATGGAAGGACTATGACCACACCTTGTCGAAGAAGTAGTTCTGGCGGTTGTACTTGTACGTCCCCTGAGGGCACAGAATGCAGCACAGGGTAGAGACACGGCGGGGAAGGGCACGACAGCTGTCCCCCTGGAAAGCTCGGAACCCCGTTCTGGGGTTAGGTCGGGCCTGCCCTCCTACAGGCGGATTTTGGATGAAAAATTTAAAACAGTGCAAACAATATCCAAAGAATACTCAAAAATGGTCAAAAATCGTCCCTGGAGAATTTTTTGCCTATTTTTGAATATTCCTCCTGTAGAGGGACATGCCCCGCATAATTCTAGGGATAGCCGGCGCGGGAGCCTGGGCACGGCACGGGGGGGGGAGGCACAAAGGTCCGGCAGAGGCAGACAGAGTCCACTCCATCAATGGTTTCAAACATTGGCGAACGAACAGTACACACCCACATACCCATAGGGGGAACGTTGGGAGGAGGACTGGCTATGGCTATGGGTGCGGGTTTCGGGTACTGGGGGGCGCTTCCTTTCGAGCGGGGACCCCCATCCGACAACACGCACCCATAGCCCCCCCGTCCCACCTATGGGTATGGGTGCGTGTTGTTCGTTCATCAAACATGGCGACAGCTGCAGGGAAGGTGGCAAAGGCGACCGACATCAAGACCACGGCGACGACGCCGGCAGAACCCAAACTCATCAGGACCCCGACAGCAGCGACAACAGCGGTCACGGCGACAGAATCGACCACAACAATGACTAAGGTGACGACGAAACATCGCACTGCAGCATCAGGCCAGAACCATCACGTAGGCACGGAGAGGCAGTCGAACATTTACAGCGATGATTCCAGGACAGCTGAACAAAATTGCAAGAATGAAAGCAGATATTATGAGCAATACACTCCTGGAGACCTCGCGCGGCAACTCGATATCCTATTCACATTGGACTCGCGTCGGGTTTACGTCGAATCATCGCCGCGCGAACGTTGGTCGTCCAATATCTTACGGGGCGGACGTTTGAACTGAACAATACACCTATTGCATGCCGCGCAATGCGTCCAAGATTTTCTCATAGCAGGTCCTATTGGAAGCAATGGTCCTAACAGCGCAAACGATCCTGAGGGCGCAGACGGCAGCGCCCTCCCGTCCGAAATCGGGCCGGGAGATGACTGGCAAAAAGCCCGTGCCAGAGACTAAAAGAGCGCTCGAACCCCCCCCCCTGGATGATGAAAACTGGCAGCTTCCCCACTCAGGGGAAGGGGCCTTCACCATGCTGAGCATCAGCCAGAGAGGAATCGGGGAGACGGAAAACTCAAGTTTGGGAGACTCGGGTTTGCCCGACCTGGACATCAGAAAAGCGGCTGGACGAAATCTGACATTCGACGCGAGCACCTGCTGCAAACATCTTCACGCGTGGACCTTCGGCAGGGGGCGGCAAAACAGAGTTCTAGCAGACTCGAGTCCTGCGCTCCCCCGAAGGAGAAAGGAGGAGGAGGAGGAGGAGGAGGAGGAGGAGGAGGAGGAGAGGACCACTGGCGACAGCTTCCGTGCCCCCATGCCCCTCAGGAGTCGCTGCGCGCGGCTGCTGGACCACAGGGAGGATGGACGCGGATGAGGAACTGCAGGGGGGACGGGCGCTCGGTGCTGGGTGCGACGAAGAGGGGCGCTGGAAAGATCCAGGCGAGGGTGGGTGCTCATCGGCTGTTGAAGTTTTCTCCCCTCGGGATGCTTGCCAGCAGCCGGGCATAGCCCCGGGAGTCCTGGGGGGGCCCGGACCGTCTCGAACGGCCGCCGGAGGACCATGTCATGGCCCAACAGCTGCGGATCGAGGTCTGAGAATCGAGATCTTTTGAAGGGAGGCAAGAGGACGTCTTGAAAGAAGAAGAGATGCCACACAGTATAAAAGACTACATAACCTGGACCATGATGTCCCCCCTGTCCCCACCCCGCCTTGTTCGAAGCCCCCAAAGCAAGGGCGGTCGACGAAGGGCGCCTGGGCTATCACGACACTGGGGACAGGTGCGAAACCAGCAGGCAAGATCGTCCCCCTGGCGGCCGCGGGGCCTGCAAGGCGCTGGCGGCAGCCATCGCCGCCGCGGCAAAGATGACCATCGCTCCCAGAAAGGTGGCAGAGGAGGGAGGAGAACCGAGGAGGGATGCAGACCTCCAACGCAGCGAAAAATCAAGGCGGAGGCTCTTCGCAGGCTTCGGCCTCTGGGGATGGTGTCGGGCTCCAAGGCCGCTAAAGCACGCCTCGGGCCGAAAAGCCAGCCCTGGAAAACTGGTCGGGACTTCCGGGGACCCCGTGCTGACAAAAACAAGACATCGGATGTCTGGGCACGCAAAGGGCATCTGCACTCTGCCAGCATGCCTGGCTGGGGCCAGCCTGGGCCCTGGCGTGGTGGATACGCCCTCCTAGCCGAGGCCAAGAGGGTCTGTACGCCATCATGGGGCCCCAGGATAGCCCTGGCCAGGCATAGTGGTGGATAGATGCCTTCTGAGGAGGAAAAGGAACGAAGAGGGAGGAGGAGGAGGAGGAGGAGGAAGAGGAGGAGGAGGAGGCATGAAGAGGGAGGATGACTTGAGGTGATACGGCTGTAAGGCGCCTTAACCCCATTAGAGGGTCCAACTTCCTGGTGTCACCACCCTCGAGATCACGGTGGACTCAAGCGTTCATCGTGGCTGACACTAGAGACTAGAGTCAAAGAAAACATTGGGCGAAACGAGAGCGCGCCCTGGGGGCCTCCAAGCAGCACCGCTGGCAAGCTGGACCGTAGGAAAGAAATAAGAAATTCTAGACGCTTCGCGTATCCCCACCAGCTCTCCGTACCCCCCCTGGCTCAAGCCGCTCTGGCTCAAGCGGGCCTCAGCAGCTGGCCGGGCCCCTGCCCTCCGGGCCTCGGCGTCCATGCCCGCGGGGGCGTGCGAGGGGGTCGCCCCCCTCCGCGCCCCTGCTCGCTCTGCCATGATGTCGCGCTCGGTGCTGCGGCGGCGGCAGCGGCGCGCTGCCGGTGGCCACGCCGCCGCCGCGGCCAGCCCGGCTGGCCGGCCGCCGCCGCGGCCTTCCTCGGCCCCTGGCGGCCATGGCGTGGCCTGCGGCGCCGCCGCCGCGGCCGCCGCCGCCGCTGCCGCCGCCGCGGCCGCGGCGGCGGCCGGCCGCGGCGAGGCCGGCGCGGCCGCCGGCGCCGTGGCGCGCGCCGCTGCGCTTGGGCCGGCCGCCGCCGCGGCCGCCGCGGCCGCGGGTGCCGCCGCGCCCGCTGTTGCCCCCGCCGCGGCCGGCGCTGCCGCCGCCGCCGCCGCGGCCGCCTCTGGCGGGCCGCTGACGGCGGCCGCTGGCCGTGACGCCGGTGGCGCCCCGGCCGACGGGGCCGCGCTCTGCATGCTGAACGCCGAGGTCGCGAACGGATGGCTGGCGGGGATGGCGACCACCGGGATGCCCTACCAGGACGGCCTCGTGGGCGGCGCGCGGGGCGACTGGGCGCGGTACACGGGCTCCCTGCTGCGCGCCTTCGTGAGCGAGTCGGACGTACAGGTGCCTGGGTGCTTCTGGAACCCCGCTGGCTTCACGACGGACGGTGACGCCGCGTCCGCCGCGGCCGCCGCCGCCGCCCCCGCCGCCGCGGCCGCCTCGGGCGGGCCGCCGCCGCCGCAGGCGGAGGCTGCGGCAGCTGGCCGTGGAGCAGCTGGCCCCCCGCCGCGCGCCTTCGAGGGCGCGTTGGGCGTGCCGGCGCCCGTCGGCCACTGGGACGCTCTCGGCCTCGCGCAGGACTGTGACGCGGATGTCGCCTACAGGAGGAGGTGCACCGAGAGCAAGCACGGCCGCGTCGCCATGTTGGCTGCCAGGGGGTACATCGCCCCAGATCCGCCGCCGCGCGCCGTTGAGAGCGTGTGGGGCCTGGAGACGCCCGTCGGCCACTGGGGCCCGCTCGGCCTTGCAAAGGACGGCGGTGCGGACGTCGTCTACAGGAGCAGGCGCACCGAGATCAAGCACGGCCGCATTGCCACGTGAGCCGCCATGGGGTGCATCGGGACGGACATCTTCCTGTGGCCGGGAGGTGTGGGCAGGCTCAGCAGGACCGAGGCGGGCGTCGGAATGTTGCACTTCGGGGCCCTCGGCTGGTTCAAGGGGGACGGCATCGAGGACCCTGAGAAGAACAAGCGGTCCCTGAGCGTGGAGTTGGCCGAAGGCCGCCTGTGGCCGGGAGGTGTCGCCCTCGAAGGGCCTGCGCGTTCGTCCGAGCTGGGCAGGTCTTCAGCCTCGGATCCGTTCCAGCAGCGGCGCCTCGCCGAGGACAGTCCGGGGCTGCCCAGATCGTCCCGAACGGCGGCCAGGGGCCCAAGTAACGGTACGAGGCTTCCGAGGGGCCTGAGCGCTCCTGGCAAGTTGTCCTCTCACAGCTTCAGAAAGGACGAGCCTTCAGCTCGAGAACCAGAGACACATCGAGCAACCACAGAGGTGAAGAGCCGTTGGACAGTCGAGGTACAGTTCCTTCTTCCTATCAACGTGTGGCGCGAGCTCAAGCTATCATATTGCCTGTCGCCGGGACTGTCGGCCACCACCTCACCTCCCATTGCTCCTCCCCTGACAACAGTACCTCGAGGGCGCTATCTGTTGATGCTCAAGCGGTTGGGGCTCAGACTGTGGCGGCACGAGCTCAAGCTATCACATTGCCAGTCGCCGGGGCCGTCGGCCACCACCTCATTCTCCATTGCTCCCCCCATGGCAACAGCATTGCGGCGACAGGTGGGAACGCTGCTGGAGCGCCTTCCGACGCCGACGCGGCGCTCAGTCGCTTCCAAGTACTTGAGGGCGGCAGGCACGATACTGGAGGAGGGGGCGATGCGTTCATCCCTACGATACACACAGATCTTGCGACCTTCCGTCGCTACCCTGGATCGGATGACGGCAGGCAGAGGGATGCCCACAGCGTTCGACCCAGGAGCAGTAGCAGCGTGGAAGAGAGGACCAGGGATCTGGCTCCCACAGGGGGTGGTCGCGAGGGCGTCGACAGCACGAACACTGACGTTGCGACCTTCAGTCGCTTCCCTGGATGTGATAACGGCAGGCATGATGCCCTCCCGCCTAGCTTATCCCCCCCTCTCACCCCAACCCCTCCCATGCCCACTGCTGGGCGCCGAATCTCGTTCTCTCGGGGAGGTGCTGGGCCGAGTGGGAATGCCCTCGGCGATACCTGGAGTACGGGGGGCGAGGACCCCACTCCTGAACAAGCCACCCCCCCCCCGTATCCAGGTCCTCGTAGGCAGACTGACGAGGGGCAGAGAGATGCCTTCGGCGTTCGACCCAGGGACCACAGAGACTTGGAGGGGGAGCCTAGGGAACTGGCCCCCCCTGGGGGCGCTCACGAGGGCGTCGGCAGGGGAGACGGGCAGACGCCTGCCCTTGGCCCCGACTCGCTTCACAGAGGCTTGTGCCTACACTCCGCCGAGCCTCCCCTCCTGGACGCGCCTGCGCCGAGTGATGCAGCCTTCAGCTGCGCACTGACCATACAAGATGGGCCTTCAGTTCCTGGAGCGCCTTCCGACGCCGACGCAGCGTTCGGTCGCCCCCCTGGACCTGAGAGCGGCAGGCGCGATCCTGGAGGAGGGGGCGATGCGTCCATCCCTGCGATACACACGGATCTTGCGACCTTCCGTCGCTACCCTGGATCGGATGACGGCAGGCAGTGGGACGCCCACGTTGGGGGGGGGGACCTTGGAAGCGGGAGGACGGGTTGATGCTATCGACCCCGCGATGCGCACTGACATTGCGACCTTCAGTCGCTTCCCTGGACCGGATACCTTGGAAGCGGGAGGACGGGTTGATGCGATCAACCCCGCGATGCACACTGACATTGCGACCTTCAGTCGCTCCCCTGGATCGGATAGCGAACCGTGGGGCCCTTGCGTTGGGGAGGGGGGGGGGCCTTGGAAGTGGGAGGACGGGTTGATGCTATCAACCCCGCGATGCACACCGACATTGCGACCTTCCGTCGCTTCCCTGGATCGGATAGCGAACCGTTGGCCTCCCCAGGGGGCGTTCGCGAGGGCGTCAGGAGAGGAGACAGGAAGACGCCTGCCCTTGGTCCCGACTCGCTTTGCAGAGGCTCGCGCCTTCACTCCGCCGAACTTCCCCTCCTGGATGCTTCTGCGCTGAGTGAAGCAGCCTTCAGCTGCGAATTGAACATAGAAGATGGGCCTCCAGCCCTTGGAGCGACTTCTGACACAGTTGAGCGAGCCTTCAGCTCCAGGCGCCAATGTACATCTAGCAACCTCAGAAGTGAAGAGCCTTCAGCTCGAGAACCTGAGACGGCACTTATGGTCTTCGGGAGCGCTGCTGGGCGCCCGCCTTCCCTGGAGTTGACAGCACTACTCGAACAGACAACGGGCTTTCAGCCCGAGGAGCTCCCAGCGAGACAGCAGCTTCGATCGACCCAGCGGCCTTGGACGCCCCAAGCGGACGCCTCAGCGCCATGGTCGATCCTGCGACCAGTCAACTCCCCGGACACTCCCTTAATCCCGAAGACGTTCGTCAGCCGCCCGCCCCCCAGTCAGACAGGCGTGGACTTGACGAGCCTTCAGCTCGAGATTCTCATACGGAGCGAGCCTTCAGCTCGAGGGCCCAAGACGCAGCGGGAGGTAGCAGAATTGACATAGAAGATGGGCCTTCCGCCCTTGGAGCGACCTGTGACACAGCAGAGCGGGCCTTCAGCTCGAGACTCCAAGGCGCATCCAGCCACCTCAGAGGTGACGAGCCTTCAGCTCGAGAATCAGGGACGGCACCAAGGGCCGCCGAGAGCGCCGACGGGCATGTGGCCACGAGCGGCGACGGGAAGTGCCCCTCGCCCGCCGCCTCTCCTGGATTTGACAGAGCCGAGCACGCAGAAGGCGGGCCTTCAGCCCGAGGAGCTTCCAGCGAGGTCATAGCCCATCGCTCTCCCCCTGGCAACAGCATCGCGGCGACAGGTGGGAGCGCTGCTGAGGGGGCGCCCGCAGTCGATGACCAGCCTCCTCCCGAGAAGAGGTCCACGACGCCTCCCCGAGCGGATGGTGGAGGTCATACCGAGCCTCCTCGCAGCATCGAGGGTCAGAGGTTCACACCGGAGCGCGCGTGCGCGCGGGCCACAGACGGGCACGCGTCTGCGATCGG